GATCCAATAAGAATTGATATTAAATAAATATCGTTCCGACGTCCTGAGAATCTGTCTGTCACCATTGTAACACTAGCGCCTAACAGAATCAGACAAATACGTAAAGATACTCCTGTTTTCACACATCTTATTGTAAGAAATTCAATTTTATCACCAAATAAATATTATAATTAATTGATGTAGTACAGAAATTGACAATAATAAACAATAATTGAAAATTTACGTTTAAACGATTCATCCCGTCTTACCTCTTGACTACTTTTATATTATATTGACGACAATGAATTTCTCACTTTAGACACAATTTACACACAAAAAACAGGAGAATCAATTTATTCGAAACAATTTGTACCACATCATGTCGCTTAGATCGTAAGATTATCATCTCTATGACTTTTTAATATCTTCAAGAATCGCTGAGGAGGGACCCATGTGAGTTCCAAAACGTTCAATATCGTTATATTATTTTTTTATATTATATTCTTTATAAATTTTTATTTTTATGCTGTACTAACATTGTAAACTTGAAATTTATTTTATAAAAACATCTTATTACTGCTCGATTTGGACCGAATTTCTTTATACCAGAAAAATAAATTAAGAAGAAAAAGTGTCTGCCCCGTGAACCGAAATATTAATCATTAAAGTCGACGATTCTTATTCAGATTAGGAGATCTGTCACAATCTCTACAAAAAATGTGTAGAATGTATAAAATGCGCACAATGGTGCAAAATCATCGCAACGCTCACTGACTATATGTATATTGCCAGCGTCATATTTACTTCTTGCGGCAAAAATTCCAAAAGGATCATTTCCCCCACTCCGTAACGGCAATGATGACGTCTTAATATATAAAATTTTCAGATTCGGATTTTGCATCACAATACCTCCGTTCATAGGATTCGTAGAGGAAAAAATAAAAATACGTATTGTACAACCGGAGTGTCAGCTATCGATTAAGCGTACGTAGACCGATTCAGCCGTTATTGAGGTGTAATAACCTTGAAACTCCTTTAAAACTTGCGGTCTCGCGTAAAAGAGGCAGTATCGTTGGCTTAGTGCCGAGACACTACCGGGTCTCCTGAAAACTATATATATGATCCGTAAAGAAATGTCTAAATACTTACAAAAATAGTGTAAAAATCTGTATAATATATCATATATTATATTATTGTTTAAAAAATTGTTTAATTATGACATATCTTCTTAATTATTAGATATTTACGTTTCGCATCTGTTTATTAATACCTTCTCTGAGTTTGTTCTTACTAATTGTACTATACTTGTACCTTCACAATTTATTTCAGCTATACAGAAACTCGCACTCTCGGTGCTTATTCATTTCCTTTGTTTATAGTCTCTACTTGCTACTGCATTATCTTTTATTCGTTTTAGTCGTTTATCCTTCTATCGCTCATCTCATTCTTTGTTATGCTTTTTCTTAAAGATAGAATATCGAGAAGTATTTTAAAAACATTGCTAGTTATTAATGTACACGTGTAAATGAATGAATCCTTTCTGCTATCTTTAAAGAATGTACTCTTTTTATTTCGAAAATTCCCGCATGAAGTACTTCTTTAAAAATATATCTTCTTAAATCTTATTTTGCAATATTTATTTTGATATAATAATCTATACAGATTGCAATTGTAAAATACATTTCTTAACTGGAATTCTCAAGAGTCATTGCTGAGTTCTCCACAAAAAGAAATGTAAGTTTTTTAGATAGACACAATTATTTAATTTTATCAAATACATATATAATTATTATATAATATTATTTAATTTTCTTTTTATAATGTTCGTTTTATTTTTTTATAATATTTGATCGATAACTGATAATTTATTCGACGTTTTAATTGTAATTGGTTGAAAAAGATGGTTCCCACTTTGTTTTACACATTTAAATAAATTTACACATAACTTCGATATCCGAAAGTGATGCAACGTAAAAATCCTGATGGTAACGAACCGTGTTTTGACACGATATCATGCACATCTCCAGAGAAGCAAAGCCGAAACATCGGAAAACATCAACATCTTAGATATCAGAAAGGTATATTTCGATATAACGCGACGTATATCTCTGCGTAGTTCGAGTCTTATCGGGGAAATATGGCGAAGATGATTTGTTGTTATGGATATGGCTATACATAACTTACGATATTCAGATAAAAATGATTTACTCGATCCATTCTCTCTATTCCTATGTATATTATGTATGAATATGTACTCTAAATATGCAATGATACAAAAAACGATCATATATACTAAAATGACGATATTTGTTAATTAATGTATCGGCCAAGTATAACAACTATTACAGACATTATTTTTCTATTGTTTATATTATTGTCAGAGATAATCAAATAAAGAAATAAATTAATAAAAATTTGTGATTAAACATCACAAACATCAATCAACATTCAGCATCTGGTTTAAAAAAGAAATTAATGTGAACAAAAAACTTATGTAGCTAAACAGATCACATTATACTGCTTTCAGGGAATCTCTCTCTCTCTCTCTCTCTCTCTCTCTCTCTCTCTCTCTCTCTCTCTATTGTTTT